GTAGTAGTAGTAGTAGTAGTAGTAGTAGTAGTAGTAGTAGTAGTAGTAGTAGTAGTAGTAGTAGTAGTAGTAGTAGTAGTAGTAGTAGTAGTAGTAGTAGTAGTAGTAGTAGTAGTAGTAGTAGTAGTAGTAGTAGTAGTAGTAGTAGTAGTAGTAATAGTAGTAGTAGTAAGTACCTCAGTAATGATCAATGATCGTATCGGACATGTATGTGGGTATGTGTATGTTGTAGAATCTATATCGGACTTCAATTTGGATCCATGATATGGTACTTGCTATCACACTCCGTTCATTTTTCCGTGTATGTATGTGTGGGGGTGTGTATGTGTATATATGTGTGTGGTGTATGTGTGTGTGTGAGTGTGCGTGCGCTTTGGGTAGTATTGGATGGTGATGGTGTTGTTATATCCCAACTTTGATGTTTCCCTTCTCTCCCAACGTTATCACGGAACAATAAGGTGTCTTAAGATTATAGGATGGCGGTTGCAATAGCAGCGATGCAGCGATATAGCTATCCGATTGGCATGCTCTGTAATTGACCTTTAACCTCTTTTTTGAAATAGTGATACTTGTAAGTTAGCAATTAATTGAAGTTGGTCCGATTTGGCAAACTAGTCCGTGAAATTTATGGTAATTAATGATGACCGGTCAACTACTGTCACTGACTCACTAAGGTGATTAGATTTTTTTAACGACTAGAATGAAGAGTTCTCAGATACCGCTCCTACCATATGGTAACTAATACTCTCATCGATTTCTAAGTCTTCTGTTTACTGTTATTATTTGAACTTCCGTGTTGGAGATCATATTCCCGATGCGGTAAAGTGGTACGTGATGATATGTCTCTTAATTCAGTTTTCGGCCTACGGCCTAATCGATATTGCCATGTTTAGGAGTGGTTTCTCATCAGGGAAGGCATCGAATTTTTTAGGAAGAGATATAAAATGGAATTTAGCTGCTTACTGGACAATCATTTTTATCAGAACAGTGAATAGAAATTGGTGGTCTTTCCTTAGTATAATCGAAGCGGAGAGTGGTAAGAGCAGTGCAGTGATTGTGCCCTTACTGCAGCATATCTATAGAATTCAGTGAGAAGTTGTTTATTTCTTGGGTGAATATAGTTATCGATTTTGCTTTCAGTCACAATTCTTTCTGGATAGATCATCCACTATCTCTGATTACATTAATTTCAATGGGATGAGAACTGATAAAATGTAGACGTTAGGATACAGCAACTCAAGTTCTTTTTCTTTTTCCAACAGATTGGAATAACTCAATCATCAAAAGAATAGCACCGCATGTGGTATTGCTTGGGTAATATTTGCTTTGCTTATTTGCCAGTTCGTAAAGTATGTTCCTTAAAATACCTAGTACGATATTAGGGAAGGAATTTAATCCTGTGTAATTTTAATCAAAATTTTGCAGACTTTACAATGACATATACGGAAGCGGATATCCCACTACAAGCCCCGCGATTGTTGCAACTTTCTGCCAGTGTTGTTGCTGCACATTCCACTACACTTTTGGCGCATGCAAAATCTAACGCAAATGAACATAGTGACTATTACTCACAACAACAACGCCAGCACGAACAGCGAAATGTTGGTAGTGATACAGCTGCTGCATTTCAACTTCCTTTGCCAGCAAGTAGTGCTGTTTTTGGTTCTTTGCGGGAACAGTGGATTAAAACGGTATGCATTTATTATTATGTCATTCTTGCTAAAAAATTTCATTTGTTATTTCACCCTTAACTATTGCCTTGATGAACTAACTTTCAAAATTAAGTCATAAATTGAACTCTGCGCGATATTAATAGAACCATTATAAAAGATTCTTTGCTTTGCGATCTGATAATAGTTTGATAGGTAGAACTCATTTCATGTGTTACTTTTCCCGTTTTTACGAAATTTCTTATCTCATTTTGTTTTAGGGTGTAACACCAACTGCTGCCTTAGAACAATTCACAGAAGCTGCATGTTTGCCTTTGGATAGTTTACCGTTATCACGTGCTCATCTCACCGATCGTCTGCTGGCAAATTTAGTGGCAGCACACCGTGAGCGCTTGACGTCTCTTGATATATCTGATACACAGGTTGGATATTCTGTAGTTTAGTTAATAAGTTTCATTGGGACATCAAATATACTTAATAAAATGGTAACACGAGAAAGAAATAAGAATGACACTAGAGTGCTTTTAAGGTAGCACAAAAATAAGTATAGTGTCTTAAAATCTTTAATTTAAGACAGGTACTAAGGTCAGCTGTTGAAAATTACCCTGTATAATGCAATGATCTATGAAGGTCTCTCATTTGCTCGCTGGTTAATCTTGTTTGTTTGGCTGGAATGAATTCTGTGTTTCAGGGAATTGTTGGTCATGAATTTAATAGGCTATTAGAAGAAAAGTCGGTGCACTTAGACCAACTTACATCGTTGTCAATGACTTCATTTGAAATCCTTCGCATACCGATGATTATTGTCCCTCCTCGTAAAACTGGCGTTAGTTATTCTACAAGTGGCTCATGCGGCACGTTGCCAATACTTTCCGAAGAAGATCTCGTCGGCTCCAGCATTGATATAAATATTGATCATTATATGGATACTTCGGATAGTGGTCCAACATCCACTTCAAAGTAGGTTTTATTTCGTCTTTGTTCATATTGATATTTCTGTTTAGTCGTCGTTTTATTTCAAAATTATTAGATTAAGTTTTACACCTCTGTATAGCGAAAGGAGTCCATGAAAATTTTTCTTGTAAATAATTTTTTCTAAAATGATGCGTAGGCTTTGTAGCTGAAAGCTGGATTTTGTAATTTCTTTTATTGAATATCGTGGAAACTTTTTCAGCTGTCGATCCGTTTCCGAACATAGTGAAATGACAGAGGCACCTACACCTAGTCCTACTATGGAAATACCAACGTTTACATTACGCTGTCCAAATATTCGTTCACTGACCCTTCATCGGGTTTGTGTTTACATTTTATGTTTTTTTTCCAGTCTGAAGGATGCACGTTTTGTGATTTTCTAAATTTTAAAGTGATTTATGTTAGCAAGTTTTTGGCTCAGTTATATCCCTTAGTTTTTTTAAATGTTATTGTCAATTTGTTACCAAGCAGAGGTATTTGATCGGTATCTAATGTGTTTTCAATAAAAACTTCTCTCTACTTAAAAAATGATCTGGCTATCCGAATTTCCAGGCAGGATTATAACGGGAAGCATCAGATACAGTTTTAAATATCTTCTCAGTGCTTGGTCAAAATTAACATCTTCAGAAACGCAATCATTGTGAAAGTGATGAATCAGTAAATGAATTTTTGAATCGTATTTTATCACCACTGAAAAAATTGGAGCGTCTGGACCTTTCCCATTGGCAGCGAGTCGATGATTTGCACTGTTTGCATCCTCATTCACTTTCAACACTTATTCTCTACGATGTGCCGGATCTTTATCGTGCTATGGATACCATTGTACAAATTACTACCCTTAAGTAAGTCTTCGAATATCTTTGCTCTCTACTGTTTTCATTTTCAAATTGTATTCTTGGTAATGTCATTAGTTACGGTCGATTTTGTCCTCTCATCAAAGTCTCTCATTGATAGCCATGATTATTATATGATAATATAAATCGTGCATATGTC